TCATAAAAATAATGACCATTACGATGATGTACCAGAAATTTTCAAAGACTTCGCATATGTCGCGCATACAGCTGTTAAAGTCGGCTAGTTGGACCTAGCACACACCTTATACACTTGTAGGGTTTTATAATTTTGACCAAAGGTTTGAAAAGCAATAAAGGAGACTTTGCGGATAAACTTAGAAAGTAGGCTAAAAGTCGATCCGGCCCATATCGAAGAAGTGCTCTCATTGCTGCCAGAGAAACGATCGGTAATTGAATACATGGGTTGATTTCACATGATCCAATTGCATACTGCAACCAGAAGGTAGCTTGTTGTTCTAAAAAATTTGTAAAATTCGGGCTTTAACTAGTTGTTTTAAGTTGTGAAATCTCTATAATTGTTGTAAATATTATTATTTATTATTATTATGAAATTTTATGTTATTATGAAATTTTGGAGATCAAGTTTCGAATCCTGATCCGGATAACTTTTATTGAGCATATTCACATATTTTGTAAAGTATCTCTCTGGTTTACAATCATAATTTTCAGGGTAGTATAAGTACATAGCTTAAGTCAGAACTTTGGAAAACAGTGAAAGGTACAAATCCAAGTAAAAGACTACACGTCTTAGTTACGTGAGTCGGTCTGAATAAAATGAGAGGACTCAAAGACTATAAGGGATATTTCTTCCAAGTTTGATTATTTTTTCTCGCTCGTACTGGTCAAATTTTGAAATCAAAATTGTATCGGAAATATATATATTGATTAGAAGAGCTATCTTTTAATAATTCTGCTGGTTGCCGCCCATGTGTTTTTCCGTGTGATCATGAATATTATTACTATTTTACATATAATATAATGGATAGATTTTTAATAATTTAAAGAATTAGTATGGAAGAGACTAATGAAGTCTTAGGAAATACATGTTTTTTGTTTTATATTGTCCGGGAATTTAATTCAAGTATTATTTATGTTTGCTTATTTATAAAAACACAATTTAATGATATTTTCAAATTCATGACGTTACCTAATGCTGTAGCCAAGAAATCCATGCGTTCTCAAGAAACATTTTTTAATTTATTTTAATATCGGCTTTAGAAGTTATCTTGTATAAACTTTTACCAGAATCCTTAGGATATCGCGTCACGAAATAAGTACGAAAACTGAATATGAAACAATTTTACAGATACTGATGGACCCCCATGTACTGAGGGCTCATGGAATCCTGAAAATCCAACCAATAGGAAACACTGAATTAAGGATACACTAAAAAAAAATATACCTTTGCATGTTTCTCTTGGGAAAAACAACCAATGAGAATCCATATTCACAGGGTCAAAGGGGCGGGGCGTATCCCAAAATGGACGCGTCTGCGCCGTTTAAAAGTAATTTAGACGTAAAACTTTCTCCATTCACAACGTCCATGTATTTTAAATTATTTAAATCACACACTTAATTTTCTCAATTTAATAAACTTTTCAATCGAAATATGTGTTTGAGAAACATGTGAATTATTAAAGTAATTGTTTACCACACTAAATACTGAAATCGGATCAAACACAATATTATTAAATTACTTTTTCACAAAATGTAAGTATTTATACATACGTATGTATGTATGTATGTGCATATATATTTAATCACAACTTCGGTAGTTCGTGTTCCTACACTATTTTTCATAAATACTTTACTATACTATAGTCTTGATATTTTTGACTTTCCGCAAAAATAATCTTGTTTATATAATTTATTTTTTATTATTATTATTTTTTGTGTTTTTAAGTCTTAATTGTTTATTTTTGTTTGTGTATTTTTTGAATAAATCTTGTATTATTTTTGAATATACATACATATAGGACTTATGTATGTACATATATATATATATATATGTATGTATATATTATGAATATTTTGTTATATACCATTTTTTCGCAAGCAAGGAGTAGTCTAGAGCTAATTATGAATAAAGGAGAAAGTTCCAAACTCAGTAATGTCAACAAAGATGACAAGGAACAATTTAAATATGGAGTTTTCTGGTTGTCCCAAACTGTTACGAATCGAATCTATTTAATATAGTACGCGTTCTATTTTAACTTTTTATACAGTAGTCTAGAGCTAATTATGAATGAAGCAGAAAGTTCCAAGCTCAGTAATGTCAACAAAGATGACAAGGAACAATTTAAATATGGAGTTTTGTGCTTGTCCCAAAATGTTACGAATCGAATCTATTTAATATAGTACGCGTTCTATTTTAACTTTTTATACAGGGTATTATATTTTTTCTTTTTTTCTTGTTTATATTAAATCAGAGTCAACAAAATCTGCTACAATCTGCAGTTTTGAACAGCCAAAATAGTTATTCGTTATGGATCCGCAAAAGCCACTTCTACCATCTGTGCTTAAGTATTTTGATGAGCCACAGCTGTTCGATCAGCTGGTATAGGTTGGTGGAAGAATCTCTTTTCAATTTTGTGATAGGAATTGATATATATTTTATTTAAGAACCATTGTAATCAACAAAGATAAAGAGCAAAACGTGAAATAGGTGTGTAAACAAACTTTCTAAAGAGGATTTAAAATCTGTTTTATCGGATTGGAAGTTTTAATATTTCGGAAGCTATGAAACAGGTAAAAACTCCGTTGAAACCAACGCCGACGCCGCACAATAATAATAATAATAATAATTTAAATGTTTCTCGTAAGTTAAATCTTATATGGGGTATGTCATCACGGAATTTTTTTAAATTAACCTGTTCTTTCCGTTATGGGGCCCATCCACAGTAGAACATGTTGGCCGAGCATGTTGAGCTCGACGAAATTTTCATCGTTAGTGGGAAATGAAATTTTTGCTCGACGAGCGGCTCGGCCAACATGTTCAACTGTGGATGGGCCCCATTAATAAATCCGTTCCATTCGAGCAATATTTTTTATTTTGTAATTTCCCTACAGTTGCCGGTTGTAATTTAACTCATGTATTTTTCCCACGAAATCACAGATGTTTAGTTTCCTGAGCTGGCAACGTTTTTATTTTTTGTTCAAAATATTTTGCTTAGTGCAAGTGAATGAAATATCAGAATGTATTTATTTTTCTCCCTTCGTTTGTTTTTTTTTTTAAATTGAAGGAAAGTAAGAAAAATATTCTTTGACCTACAAAACTCCATATAAAATTAGTTGTCGAAAAAAGAAAGAAAAAGAAAATAACATTCTCATTTTTGGTCGGGCCGGTAAATGGATAAAGTTCCGAGCAAAATGTGTAAGGTGTTTCCGGATCAAAAAACTGTTACAGCTGTGATTTCAAGGGAAATAAAGACAAGATGGGGGAAAATTTAAAAATAAAAATATTGCTTGTATGCAGCTCTTTTTTACCCGTAATGATTAAATTCCCACAATATGTTATTTAAATGACAAAAGGCATTTAATATAGGAAAATAATCTGTTATTGGGATGCGCTTTCCTTGGTGTCTTCATCTCTAAGGAGGCGAATACATCAATAAATAAATAATATAATAATATAATAACAATACAATACAATACAACAATAGAATTAATTTAATATCATAATATAAAGATTGTTTATAAATAAAAGCTGTGGCCAGTGTGAACATTTTCGCGAATTTGAAATTCTTTGGTCACACTGGGTATCGAGTGAAATATGTAACCATTTCGCTTCCAACATTCCTCAAGGGGATTGATCATCTGTTAGTACTAGGCTTTACAGTACCACAGGTCATCAACTGCGACTGCGACGTTCTCAGTCGGCAATCGTTACAAAAACAACTGCCTCGTGCTCACATTTTCTCTCGTTTTATGAAACGTTGAAAAAATAGTCGAAACATAGGCGTGTCATCAGTAAAATATAATAAGGATCTCTGGCACTGTACCTTTCCCAATAATATAAGCGAGGTGGGTTTTTTAATTTTTAACTTTTGGTTTTTTTTTTTAATTTTGAAGGAGTTACAAGTAGTTTACATATGTATTTTATGTGGCAAACGTAAAAAAAATACAAATTTCAAAACTTAAAATCTCTAACTTAATGATACAATTGACATCGAATTATATTTTACTTATTATATTTTTATTATACTTTTTTTCAACCTAACATGTTAATGAAATGTTGATGAATTGCTCATGAAATGTTAGGAAATTGTTGATAATTTTTGTATGATTTGTTGACAAAAGTATAAGACATGTTAAATTCAGCAATAATTTGTATGGATATATATCGATGAATCTTTAACAACATCGCCTCGTCTGTTTATGAAACGTTGATGAATTTCTAATTAATGGTTCTGCAGATTTATTGTTTAGCATTATGATAGATGTTGCAATAAAAATTTGACAATACCTTGGAATCTTTCTTAAGTGTGAGCAATATTACCAAACAGCTTTTCTAATACGGTAGCTGAGAAAGTAAACTGATCTACTGATCTTTAAGCCTTATTAGAGGCCGAACATGTTAAATGTTATCATAATACGTTTTGCTTTTTGGTGGTGTTTTGCATTTATCTGTTAAAACTTAAAACAATTAAGAAAAATTATTTATTTTAAGTTTCTTTTTTATCTGTAAAATAAAATTAAATTAATTTCTGGGTGTAAATTATACAGTTTGTACGAATTATAAGGTTTAGATAATTAGTTTAAGGACTGTCAATAGTGAAAAGTAATAGTAATGTGCTCTGACTTGCGGTCATTCTTATAGTTTGCCTTTTTAATAAAACATATTGTTAGGTCTCAAATTTCTAATAAAGTCTCTACTCATTGTATAATGCAATTATTATTAGATTTTGCACCGAATACACTTCGTTATTGAGTGGGTCTAATTTTGACAGATAAAATAACAGAAATATGTGAGAATGATCTGATGGCGGATCTTTTTGAAAAAAGGCTATTAATTGTTGAGAGCCTAAAAATTGTAAAACAAGACGGTACGAGACCGTTCCATTTTCACTATTCCAAAAAATATATTTTGTCATTGTAGCATTTGTCTGTCGATAAGTTTTTATCGTCAGAGTTTTGGCGTGATTTTCATAAAATTTATTGAAGACAATAAGGAGATAACAAAAGTTGTTTACAACATATATTTTATTATTTTTTTTAATCTAAAGGGGAATGTACAAATATAATTGATCGGTGTATTACATTATATCTATGTTTGCATAAGTGATGAACTAAAGTTTGTATAATCTTTTTATGTATATATGTGCATTTGCATTGTGCATATGTATGTACATTACCTTTCGCTCGCAGAAGTTTCTTGATTTAAATAAATTTAATTAATTTAAAGGAATAACAAAAATTACAATGGCAGCAAGAAAGCAAAGCGTACAGTAAGTCGATTTTCTTTTTATTCATATCTTATATTTGATAGTTTTCAATGTATGTAAATGACAACATATGCACATTTCTGGGCTTGTGAGTAGGGTGAGAATAAATTAGTTTTTAGTAGTTTATTTGATGTAATACTACAAAGGTTTGAACATAGTTTATGCATACTATTAATCATTTTAATACAATATAATATTAAAATTATTATTTACTAATGAATAATAGATACATACATATATATTTTTTTTTAAGGTACTCTAGAGCAGATCTATTATCTCTGCGTTATGAAGGCAAAAGTCGACAACGTCCGCAATGCTCAAACCGCGTCGAACTACAGACTCTAAATTTTTGGAAAGTCAATTTAAATGCAGTAGCTGCATCTTCGTCATCAAGTTTGGCCAGCTGCAGTAATTATGCAAATCGAAGTAAGGATCGACTATCACCGGAAACTGATAACTCGAGTTTAAATAGTTCAAATAATGGCTCTATAAGCTCTCGTCGTGCGATGAGAAATCGGGAGCGGGCGAATAACTATTATCAACGTTTTGTACCGGGTGTCGGCGTAGATCCTTTGCCGATTTGTGGTGAAGAAAAGGAGAAATCATTTAAATCCCCGCCAATCATCGATCATCGCAGCATATCATCATCTCATTTAATGCCAGCATTCGCCAAGCGGCGTTTTGCAGCAGTAAATGGCGGAAATGGAAATGGAAGTGAGGTGACTCAAAATCCATGTGATGATGTTAATGGTTCAGAATTAACGGATCGGGTTGCAAGTCCTCAGTTGACCAAACCCAGTACCACCACCGCAACGGGTTCACCTAAAAATTTAAAAATCAGCTGTTCAAATTTAGAGAATTCAGAAGGATCAGAAACAGAGAGACGCTTACACTATGTTCAATTGTTTCCACAAGTATCGCAATGTTCATCTCCAACACTTTCATCGAGTCGCCTTGAAAGGCAGCGCATTGGCAGTGGTCGTTTATTGGTAAACTCTTTGGAATATAATAAGAATCAAAAGGCAAAAGAGTGCAGCCAGGATATAGAGAACGAAACTTCTTTTAATGGAAACAATCGTCATCGCACTTATAGTGGACGCATTACCGAAAACATAGATCGTCGCTTTCAATATGACAATAAAAGGCACACGGATAATAGGCAAAACATTGTCAGTAATCGTCGAGGTAATAACAAAGAAGTTCCGAACAGCCGTGGAAAACGCTTAAATACTTATCATCACGAGGAGCCCGAATGGTTCAGTGCTGGGCCAACTTCGCAGCTGGAAACTATAGACTTGCACGGCTTTGATGAGCTAGAAAATAATGAAAGTGATAATAAGGTTGATGAGGAAGGAGTAAGAAACAATATTAATATATTATCTGACAATTTTAAAGATAAAAATTTGGCTGTAATGCAAGAAGTTGACGGATCCTCTTCTAGCGAAGATAAAAATGATACTAAAGAAGAACAAAATAAAAATCAGTCTAATTCTGAAACTCAATTCAATTTTGATGCTTTTCTGAATATGCATCCTTTGGATACCACACTTATGGTAAGTAAGAAAGTTAATTTTGGAAGTAAAAAAATCAAGGATATGATTCGTTTATTTACAGACTAACGATGAAATTGACAAAAACGAAATAAAGGGTACGTCCCGTTTTAGCCGATGGTTTCGTGGTAAAGATTCTACAAATAATACTGAGCCTCTGCCGTCTTATCATGTGCCGTTGCATGTTCAAGAGAAACATGGTGAGTTTTATTCGTTCTTTTCTTTAATTAATCCTAACAATTACACAAATGAATCATAAATTTGTGAAATTTTTACTATATACCTATAATGATTATACTATATTATAGGCATTCCCAGTGTTAAAGATTTAGAAGCACAAATGACCAAAGTCGAAAAGCGTCCATCTGACTTTCAAAGGGCCGACAATCAAAGGGCTGCTCCCGTTCCTGCTCCATTCTCTCAGATAACGCCAGTGGAAACGCAAATTTCAAAAGATACAGAGGCTTTCAAAAAGGTGCTACAACAATTGGGGGGCTCCCAAATTCAGCCCCAAGACAGACAGCAAGTCTCCAAGCTAGCAACAAATGCTGTTTCATTTAATTTAATTAACAACTTAAGTCCTGAGTTGCCGGTGGAATCAATTCGGAAATCTGATCATAGAGCGCCACAACAACTGCACCTGCTAAACATGAATACAACTAATAGTGCAGTCCACGACTTGGAACAAAACCGAGTGGAAATGCAACAACTAATGCAAAGTAAGTCAACTTTAACTTTCAATTAAAGTATTTGTAATATGCAAAAATATCTTTAAAAAACGAATTTGCTATTTTGGGTTTCTTCATTTTTTCAGACATTAATCGTGGTGATATTTCTGTTGAATTATTGGAAAAGGAATTACATAACCCCAATACTCCACCGCACTCTAAAGAGATGATTGTTTCAGTTATTCGTGAATTCACGCACCATAATAAAAGGAATCCAGCAGCAGTAGTACATAGCGATCCACATTTAGTTGTCAATCATCACTCAGTGTTCCCACAACATGAAGGTTTGTATTTAAAAAAAAAGTCCAAAATTATACCCAGTACACAAAAGAAAAATTGAGATAGTATTGATAAGCATAACCAGTTAAGAAAGTCCCTCTGTACGCCTGCGTAGATTTTGAGACAGAGAGTTGGGGGTAACAAATTTGGTCGGTGTATTCGATAAGCCAAAAACTACTAAATAAATTGTTTTAAAATGTAAAAAAAACGTTTATTTAACAAAGCCTCTAGATTACCACGTCGGTGTACTTTTTATACCCTTCCAGAATGTTATAATTTTATACAGTAGCCTGACGCGCAGTCAAGGAGTCATTTCCGACCATATAAGATTTATTGTAAATAATAGCATCAACAACCGAGTCGATCTTGTCATGTAAGTCTCTCCATTTCTACGCAAACTAGTCTCTCATTTTTAAGCTATCTGTATGCCATTTAAATCACAGGTTAACTTGAGTCTTTCAACACTTGTCATTGCCGTTTTCTTAACGTTCTCAGCTGAACAAAATAAATAGGAAATCAGAAGTTTCTCGAAAATGACGTTAACAAAATCATCTTATAGGACTATTCATATGCAAATCTGTGAATGTAAAACTTCAAATATAATATGTATAGGTGAATGAAATGAAAGCAGGTATTACTTCATTGTTTTTTAACACAAAAATATATAATTAAATTGTATGGATTCCTAGTCATAGAAGTTCTACCTGCAAGGGTATATAAACTTCGGCGTGCCGAAGTTAGCTTCCTTTCTTGTTGTAATTGGATCTTGTGTTACAGGGCAATCCTATCTTATTTGCGTTCGAGCTTATTTGGATGCAGCCCCCACTTGTTTGCAAACATTTTTTTTGCCTGCATTCCCAACTCCTACCGTAATTTTTTTCTTCCATGAAAGCTTCAGCTCCAGTATCAGTCCAAGATACTTTGCTTGCCCCAATAGTTTTAGCTCTATTTCGTGCATGTTGTATGCTCGAACCTTTTTTTTTTTTCAATTCCTACTTAGTGATACCTAATTCACATGTTCCTCACCACTTATTTAGCCAACCCAACGCAATCGTCACTATCTCAATGCTAGCTTTAGTTTAGGGTCCTGATACTAGGAGTACTACGTTGTCTGCGTATGCTACTGCTTTGACGCCACCCACATAGAGTTTTTCCAATTGCTTATCATGTTTATAGCCAAGATCAGTGGTATGACTCTTCACTACTTGATAGTTTTGGCTGTGATAGTTTTGCTCAGGGACCATAATCTAGTGTTCAATTATAATAAATAATAAATAACGGAACTAAAAAGAAGAAATAAATTTATAATTACAAACAAAATTATTAAATTCAGAGCAATAGTATATAATTATAAACAAGATCACTAAATTCAGAGTTAAAAGCGTGTGGCTTGTCCAGCAGGCATGCGCAGATGGCGCGCTAGCTCTGTCTCTCTTACTCCTTTACGGATGATCTATAAATAAAGAATTTATCAATCCTGACGATCCTAATCAGGATACTGAAAAAATTGTATCAAATTATTCATTGTAATCGGTCCTTGAGAAGTATGAAAATTTTCAAGCTTATCAGATATTTGGAAACCCTTGAAAATAGTGTAATATTCAAAATTATTATTTTAGTTAAAAAAATTTAATTAAAAATAACTGATTTTTTTTTGTTTTTCTTTAAATAAAACTCAGATTCTCTTCAAAAATAATATAAAAAAGAAAGGAACCTAACGTCGACACGCCGAAGTTTATATACCCTTGCAGATAGAACTTTGATGACTAGAAATCAATTTAAATATTAATGTTAATAAACAATGAAGTAATACCAGCTTTAATTGCATTCACCTATAAATATTAAATTTACAGAACGTAAAATTCACAGATTTGCATTTTTCCTCCACATCTAATGATCGTTTTGTATGGCACCTATATGATCGTCCGATTTTCATAAAATTTGACAGAAAATTTAAGGCTAATATAAAATGGCTATATCTCAAATTTGATGAAAATCTGTTGAAAACTGAAAAAGTTATAATTTTCAATTGTATTAATTTCTCGATCGTTCCTATGGGAGCTATATGATATAGTAGTCCGATTTTCATAAAATTGTACACAAAATTGTTGTTATATAAAATGGCTATATTTCAAATTTGATTAAATTCTTTAGAAAAATGAATATATTATAATATTTTTTATAAAAATTTTCCGATCATTCCCTTGGCAGCTATATGATATAGTCGTCCGATCCGGCCCGTTCCGACATATATACGAGTGAGAGAATATAGAAGACTAAATACAAAGATTTATTCAGATAGCTTCACAACTGAGAGACTAGTTTGCGTAGAAACGGACAGACGGACATGGACATGATCAAAAATATATATACTTTATAAGGTCGGAGGTGCCTCCTTCACTGTGTTGCAAACTTCTGACTGAAATTATAATACCCGACAAGGGTATAAAAATAAGATTTTTATATTTACAAAATAAAAAGATGGATTATTTACATTCCTTGCTTCTGGTCGTTAGCATAACTCTAATCCACTCTGTGATGCCTCTTTTAGTGCCCAATGAGTTGGGGCGCCCAGGGTGGAATCGGCGTTCACGTTATTAAAAGCACCTTCATTGTCTAGGAAGGCAGCAATCGTGCATGCTTTGTACTGAAGCGTTTTTCCGTAATCTTATCAATATGAAGGATGTAAAGCTTATCTGCCTATAATCCCTCCTAGACTAATGCAAGCTTTATATCTGGCAAGATTGCTGGCATTATGCCGTCCGGTCCCGTACTTGTAAAAACCGTGTGTTGTCCATTTGATTCTCCTCGTAGTATACATTTAAATATACAACTTTTACAATATCAAACAATTTTAAACGGAAATACCTACCTCTTAAAAGTAAATATCGTTTGCCCACCCATTAAGACCAAATCTGTTTAACAATAAAAGGTTTGAAAACGTCTTAAAACTAAATAATATAGTTACCTTACAAACAGTTCAGTTTATCACAAAAAGTACTTTTTGCCACCCTTTTAAGAGAGTGAGTAATTACTAAGCCTAAACAAGAACGGAACCCCTTTCAGTTTGCAATTCGAACACTAATGATTAACACAATATAAATTATATATAAAAAACGAGTAATTACATATTAAATGTATGGCATAACAGTTACAGTTTTAAATTCACAGTTGCATTTTCCCTATATTTATCGATATTTTCTATTTCAGCTAGTCGTCCGATTTTCAAAAAAATACAAAAGGCTATGACGCCGCTCTAATATCACGTCGATGCCTTATTAACACCCTGCTTGAAACGTCCACAATAATAAGCGTGGCGTGTGTTTTATTCTGTAACAATGTAGATAAGTTAATTCTTACCTGGAATGCGTTACAACCTTACATTCCGCAGTTTTCCTTCCCTCTCTCTATGATATCGAAATCGTAGCGAATCTATATGACAAATTTGAGCCCTATTAGTGTACAATAACTACGGAAGCCTGAAAAATATCTAAATATTATTATATTAACTCATGACGGCGCTAACTTTTAAACCTTCCTAACTATCGATTACCTAATTCGACCCGCGACGACGTGCTTGCCCCACCTTTCCCTGCGCACAAGTGTTGGCAGGTACTCAAGTACCCATAGCTTTCAGAAGCGATCCCGCATCATTCAAGCTATGCGCAACTGCTTTCAGGTAGCGCATATCGCGAACTCCTGTCCGTCATTTCTAAAAAGTTCAGTAACATCGGACACTTTCTTTGGCGCGAGCTTCTTCATTGTGTATGACAGCAACTTTTTAATGCACTGCACCATTCTTTCCCATGCACCACCCTCAGCTGGGTTCGCCGGGCAGTAAAATAGCGACAACTCGCCCTGGATCTGCGCAGGCTCGAACACTTCGCTGAGCCTCTTGGCCTCTCCATCGGATCCAACGCAAGTCTTCCGGTTGTCACTCCTTATTCTAACCACCGGTCCACAGTTCTCATAACGATTATGCAGAAATCTGTAGAGCAGCCGTGGCCCATCTCCAAATGGATCTTTGTTTGTTTTGTTTCGCTTTGCCTCTGATCCGGCGAGACTCAGTTTAGCCAGGGTGTCGCCTCTGACGCAGCCTATCATCCCTATCATCCTACTTTCGATGTGACTCTCTACATTGGGTCTGACCTACAGAATATATCTGTCCTCTGTTTTATCAAAACGGACTTTGAACGGCTAAATAATTAAATATGATCTTAACTGGTTTGATCTATTCATGTGCACTGACACGGCAGTTGCAGTGGATATTTTTTTCAATGCCATGAACTAATTTTTTACTGAATGTGTTTCCTTATACTATCCGCCAATCTCGAATAAGCCTCCGAGGTTTACTAAAGCGTTGAGCCGACTTAAAAATAAAAAATCTTGGCTGTATACTTTACTTAAAATCACCATGTCTGAATCTATTAAAAACTATTTAACTCTTTGCAGGGTCCAGTTTTAACAGGAACCAAAACAGTTTTATAATTTTGTTAAGCCTAACGCAAATCCTTCCCCGCTGTCATTTAAAATGCTACCACAAATAATGATCGGGCAATAGCCGATCTATTTTCGCAGTTTTTTCAAAAAACGAATTCAAACTTTTCATATTCAAATCAGACTTATTGCTACGTCATGCCCAAATCGAACTTAATTTCCATCCTAGTTTAAACGAAAGCTCTCCTCTTTTAGATTTTCATTCATCGTGTCAACCCAGTTTATTCGCCAGGTCCCAACGGAATTTCCGGCTGTGTGCTGAGGTATTGTGCAAATGCCATGTGCTATCTCCTTCTGAAATTGTTTACATTATCCTTAGAAACCTCCCACATTCCCCTTATTTAGAAGAAATCATTAACTATTCCTCTCCACAAAATAGGTAGCAAATCGGATGCTAACAATTATAGAGGAATTTCTAAGTTCTTGGCTATCTCAAAACTTTTCGAAAACGTAATTACTTCTTATTTGCAGCTTTGTAGATCAGTTATATATCAACATGGATTTATAC